GGAGAAATATGTTTGCTTCAGTACGTCACCAAGATTTTAGTAAACTTACCACCTGGGAGAGATGGCTAGTAAAGGGAAGTGCAGTGTACACTAGTGGGTAATAAAACAATTACAACTATGGGAAAAGTTTGATGTACCAAAAGTTATCACAGTAAATGCTGGACTGCCAACTGCTACCAACAGATGAATGCTTCATCTTATTGTTTTTAGACGGTAGCAGGAAGCCACTTAGCAAACAGCCACCAGTGCAAACAGCGACGCAGGTGCTGCAGATATGGGTTAAGACCCGGTGTGCACTCAACGGCAGCAAACTAAACACACAGCCTGCAAAAAAAAAATTAAAAAAAATTCACAAAGTGTATCAACTGTCTGACTCACTTATATTTTGTTAAACACCAGGGGAAAAAAAAAAAAAATATATATATATATACACATTTTGTCTGTTGAGCCACACTCACACTTCTTGCGTCATACACTTAACCTTTATCACAGGAAATATTTTTAACACATTCAAGTCAAGTGTTTTACACCCTGGCATACCTGGGTACCTGTGCAGTCACTACTTTGACCGATGTGTATGTTGGGTAGAGTGGGGTATACATTATGAGTGGATTGGCCCTGGCCAGACTACTGTTTGTTTCTGTGTGTACAAATTGACCTAAACAATACGAGGTTAACATATTAGTTTTGAATGCAGTTTTTTAGCCTGTAAAGCTGACTGGTCGAAGTTCAAGAGCAGTCAGGATCGACAAAACCCATCTGCAGTCACTACACTACAGAAGGCAGTTTTATGGGTTAGATGAAAGAAGAGACCAGAGACCAGGGTAGCATACCAACAGACAATGAAAAAGACCAGTCCATTTTTAATTGTGCGCCCCACATTTACAAAAGACTGGCTACGGAAATCAGCATCCTAAAAACACGCATTTAATAAAATGATACAAATAAAAAAAATATAGATGAGCAACATTCTTGTCACAAGCTAACATGTCATTAGCTTGGAAGAAGCTATACCACAGATGGCGATGTGCTCTATATGCAACATATATAATGGGGTTACCGCTGTGAACCTAATACGACACTTAAAACACCATCTCCCACCTGTAGATGCTCAACTGGTGAAGCCAACTGTGGGACAAATTTCATTAAAAAAAAAACCAAAATAGCATTACAGGAGCATTTCATGCTACGTGCGTAGCCTGCTGCAGGCTAAGGTAAAGCTGTGTCTAGTTTTACAAAATCCATTTGTACAAGTAATGTTAATTTAATACCCATCATTTTCTCAGTGGAAGGACGCACATTATTCAGACATAATGCACAAAGCCTCATTTGTCAGACAGTTTGGTCCACAGGAACGCAGTTATATTTAATACCTCATTCCAGTCTGCAAGAACTTTATTTTGAATCTTGTTGAACTTAAGAAAGTTCAGAGAATAAGTGAGAATAAAAAACTTGATTTTTATAGATAGCATATACACCTTGTCTATGCAAGTCACACTTTATATCAGAAATCTGAAGTCTCATAAAATGATCTTGCGTCCTGTACACTTTAGGAGTACTAAGGTGAATCAGTAGCAGCTCATGACTTGCCTGAAGTGAAAAAAAGGTCTAGAACTGAACTTGGGCACAAGCGTGGTTTTATGGTAGAGACAACAAAAGAAGAGCGTTGAGTCCTGTTTAAAAAAAGAAAAGTTCTGAGAGAGTCAACTCATCCAAGTGGCCAACACAGGCACAGCGCTCAAGTGTTCGTGCTCAAATATTGTATAGGGAATATTTAGCTTTAATATACAGGCTAGGCTTAGCTTCCTGCTTCCTGTCTTGCCTTGTGAGCTCCTCATTTGCCCCCTCTCTTACACAACAACTCTATAGGATTTGTGTCACTTCTTATTGTAAAAACACAGAGCTGAGGGACCATCTATAACTGCAGGTCACCACCTTGAGTCAGCTCATGTTACATGCTTCATAAACACACACATTAAGCAAACAAACACGCACAATATCCGTGTTGTGGGAGTAATTCAATCGTTTCCTCTTCGTCAGTCTGTTTCCAGACTCGGTTTTGGTTTATTTGCTCTCTGGGTTCTTTACAGTAAGTGGAAAAAATAACATAAGTCTTATGTGATTTCTATAGGTTAAGACCTCTGGTGTGGGAAAATTGCTTCCTCCCTCACACGCAAATGCCGATAACCTCGACCAAAGCATGGGAAGACAAGGGTTGTTAGCCTTGGCATGGCTACGGTCGGTTGTCATCATTTAGGAGTGATGGATGGAAGGAGGGAAAAAATAAGCAAGAAGAGAAACACAGGGACAAACAAGAGGCGAGACAAACACGGAAAAAAACCAGCACTGAGAAAAAACAGATGTGCCGTGCGGTTGAGTCAAGATGATGCTCCATTTGCTGAATTCACAGATGCAGGAAGACAGGCAATGTTTACCAAATCTCAGCTTTATACTGTGACTTACAGTTTTCCCACAGACAATTAGAATAATAATATAAACATTGCATACATGTTTGAGTTTGTCCCTTCCCCTGGTGGCAATAATAATATAAACATTGCATACATCCTTGTTTGAGTTTGTCCCTTCCCCTGGTGGTGATCTCTACAACCAGGCAAAATCCTACCTCAGCTCCTAGGGGCTCATGTAAAAACTTGTAAGACATGCTGGTACTACAAACCAACCTCAGGTTTGTACTGGTGCCCACCAACCACAGAGCCAGGCTTTGAGTTCTAACCGTGAATTGAGATCACTTTCACTCCAGGATTGTCCAGGAGAGGTTTGTTCGGCTGAGAAATCCCAAAAGTTTTAGATTGATGTTTTTCAGTTGGCCATGTTTAAAAAATGTAACTCCATTTATTCTGCTACAAGCAGTATACACTATAGTCCTCCAACCAAGAGCCAAAGGATATTTATTCTAGGGCTGTAATCAACCAAAGAAGAAGAAATTTCGATCTAGCCTTGTTTAATAATAGATAATCATAAAGACTAATAGTTTATTTGCTTTATATTAAATAGGCTTTGACCTAATTATTTTGCACTGAAATGAAGCACACGCTGGAGTCTGTCGCCTCTGACCAGGTTCTGCATCACGTGCATCTGCGCAGCAGCATAGCCCCTGATTTTTGAAAATATATAAACATGTCAACCAGTGATATGAGCACAAGAACTGTTGAGGAATATTAAGGTAATTGTTTTTGTCACGGTATAATAAATCATTTAACTTTTTTTATTTTTACTATTAAACACAAAAGGCTTTAAGAAAAATGAATTAACTTTTTGACTCTAACCTGGCTGTCTGTGCCTTTGTCTAAGACCCACTGTCACTGAAGACAAGCTTTGGTCTTCTTTCCCAATTTTGTGTTTTTGAGCTGTCAGGTCATGTGACTCAGCAGCTCCAGGCAAACAAACAAGAATCACTGCTCACTCACTGCTCACGAATGAAGCAAAACGGCCAAGAGAGGAAGAAGGTAAAAAAAAACAAGGGCAAGATGTACGATTTGTAAAGGACTGTCAAATAAACTACGTAATCACATGAACGGTCATTGTCAAATAAAAAACATGGAGATACAGAAGCAGAGAGAGGAGAAAGAGAGTAATTTCCCACCACAACCTTTGGCAGACCCCAACCCAGATCAAGAGGCAGAGTTCACTGCTGGAGGTCTTTAAATATGGTACAGAATATCCAGGTACAGTATAGCAAGTAGTCATTGCAGTAATACTTGGTAAGTGACCCTTGGTATTTGTTAATATTATTGCAACAAACAATGTTGTTAAAATGAATGTATTTACTGGAATTAAAAAATACAAACCTCATGTCTAATATTTGATTACATTTATATACTCTTCTTCGTTTACTCTGAAAGGAATACTGTAGGATTACTGTAACTCAATGGTTCTCAGGTATTTTCTGTCATGCCGCCCCTAGGGGACAGAAATGTTTTCATACCTCCCCCCCCCACCCCACACACACATCCTCGAATTGAAATAGGCTACTATTGAAAACCTACAACATGTACATTTTTGTCTGTACGAACCACTGTATGAGTTGCTGCCACCTAGTGACGGGAGGCTTGTTATCATTTGAGCGTTGTAGCAGTGGTACACTGATGTCCGTGCCATATTCCATTGGAAGCCCCAGACGCCCCCCTTGGCACCTCATTGCGCCCCCTAGGAGGGTCCGCCCCACTATTTGAGAAGTACGACTGTTACAGACTAAATTATTTCCTCATCACACTTTTCTCAGTGAATTGGTTATGAATATTTATATATATATTTATCATATTTGATCATTTTCCTAGTAAAGCAAAATAAAAAATTCTTAGAGAATATGTTTTAATAATTATAATAGACAAATAGAT